CGTGGATTCCAGCCAGTGAATAATGTCACATGATACTGGAATCCATCTTAAACCTGGTACTTTTCCATTTAGAAGGAAGGGTGAGAACTCAGAGAGAGACAAAGGGTTCCCACCTTGTGCCAAAGCTATAAAAGAGTGTGGAACAGAACAAAGGGGGCTGCCAGTCATGAGAAAACCCCTAGTTACCATCTGAGCTGGAACTAACAAGAACTGTACCAGGGAAAGGATTGGGCCCAGACTAAGAAGGAGTCTAGTTTGTGAAAGAAGCTTATTGGAACATCTCTGAGGGTGAGATTTACCTGTATTCAGTTTCTTAAATCTATTAGGCTTAGACTTGCATGTTTTGTTTTATTTTGCTTGGGAACTTACTTTGTTCTGTCTGTTATTACTTGAAACCACTTGAATCCTATTTTTATACTTAATAAAATCACTTTTGTTTATTAACAAACCCAGAGTAAGTGATTAATACCTGGGGGAGCAAACAGCTGTGCATATCTCTCTATCAGTATTATAGAGGGCGGATAATTCATGAGTTTATCCTATAAGCTTTATACAGAGTAAAACAGATTTATTGGGGTTTGAATCTCATTGGGAATTGGGTGTCTGGATGCTGGAGATAGGTAACCTGCTAAGTGGTTTTCAGTTAAAGCCTGCAGCTTTGGGGGCGTGGTTCAGACCTGGGTCTCTGTTGCAGTAGACTAGCGTGTCTGGCTCAACAAGACAGGGTTCTGGAGTTCCAAGCCCTCAGGGAAAATGGGCTCAGAGGTAATTTCAGCACATCAGGTGGCAGTCCCAAGGGGTTCTCTCAGACCGAACCTGTCACAGGTCAGAAACAGTGTATTGCCTTTAGGATATTGTCATAAATGTGGGGGAAATAATCATTTTGCAAAATGCTGCAGATCTCAAATGCAGAAAAGTCAAATGCATCCAGTTCCACAAAGGCTTTATTAGAAGGTTGGTACTGATATATTTCCCTGACAATCAAAGGATTATTTAATAGTCACAGATTATTATTCTCTGTATCCAGAAATTTGCACACTGCACAGTACTAATAATAAATTAGTGATAGCCGGCTTGAAGAGAATCTTCTCCAAACATGGAATTCCAGATGAAGTCTTTAGTAATAATGGGCCACAATTTTTCAGTGCAGATTTTAGGCAATTTGCCAGAGATTGGGGATAATTTGGATTTGATGTTTTGTGATGAAAATCCCAATCAAATGGACTTTAGGAAATGTTTATAGAGACAGTAAAGAATCTTATGAAAAAGACTTTTGACGGTGGGGGGTGATTTATATAAAGCACTATTGGTTACCAAAGTACACCCCTGGAGAATGGCTTTTCTCTAGCTCAGTTGTTAATGGCAAGAAAGATCAGATCTAATTTACCAATTACTGATGACCTGCTGAAATCTCATAACAGTGCAACCGTACAGAAGATGAAAGGAAATCAGAAGTGGAAGCGGAAATATTATTTTGACAAAAGGGCCTGTGATCTCCCATCTCTTAACCCAGGTGATAGAGTGTGCCTGAGGAATCACACCTCTGATACTTGGGGCCAAAGGGGTGCCATTAAAGAACAGCTGCATCCAAGGTTTTATGTAGTCGAGACAGACCAGGTGGACACATTTTGACATAATTGAAGGGATGTATGATTAATCCCAGAAGGTTCCACAACATTGACAGCTGATGTGGACTCTGGCATTTCCCATGTGACTGATCCTTTGATGCACAAAGGAGCAACTGTCAAAGAACAAGTGAACAACTCAGACTCTAATGAAAGGCTGATCCTCAGAAGATCAGAGTGTGAGATTAAACTTCCTGGAAGACTCATAGAGACTTGCTAACCTGCTTGGAGTAAGGTTACTTGGGAAAAGTGAGTGGTAAAGACTCACTGGAGAGTGATGTGCTAGTAATCTGTCCTCTCTAGGTAGTTGACAAACTGGGTTTATGGAAATATAGTAGATGGGTTTAGAATTTAATGCATGTGTTTTTAGATAGTTGTTAGCTGTTATATATGAGTTAATTTGTTTTTCTTTAACAGGGAAGATATAGAGATATGTTTGTAGAAGATTATAATTTAGAGACGCTCCCTCATAACGGACAGTATTATGAACATAGGAATTTGGAGATGTGCCCTTGAGGCAGTGGTTGGGAACACCACATGGCTGTGTGTAGATCACCAGAGATGCTCTCCAGTTTGTTTTATTAAAGTTTTGTTCCTTTCTCATTCATTTGGTTTGTTGTTTAATGAACCCCAAGACTGTTATAATACTTAGATTAAACACTCAAGACTTGATTTCAAAACTAATTTTTATTTTATTGCCTTTTAATAATAGAGGTGGGTCAAAACTGATCTGCTTTTAAACTCTCCTGAATAGGTCAGACCAACCCAAATATAGACTTTATAACCTAATAGAAACAGTATGATTTTGTAAGATATGCAAATATTCTGAATATGATTCAATAACTGTTTCCCTTCTGCAGATGCAACAGTAATATGCATTATTATTAAAAAATAACACACTTTTTCTTGTGTTCAGTTTTTTGAAAGCTATACATATAGAGCCAGTTTCTGCAGTTTCATCAAGCAAATGCTTTTTGATTTCAGTGAGAGTTTTGTACAAGTAAGTACCACAGAATATGTCCCATAGATACAAAGCAATTCTTGCGTGTTTTTATTTAAACTTTGTTGTCACGGTTCATAGAATCATAGAAGGTTAGGGTTGGAAGGGACCTCAGGAGGTCATCTAGTCCAACCCCCTGCTTGAAGCAGGACCAATCCCCAATTTTTGCCCCAGATCCCTAAATGGCCCCCTCAAGGATTGAACTCACAACCCTGGGTTTAGCAGGCCAATGCTCAAACCACTGAGCTATCTCTCCCCTGGTTCTTGAGGTACCCAGAACTGTGAATCATCTTGTTGCCCCCCTCCTCCAGCAAGAGGAAGTCTTGTTTGTGGTTGCTGGGTGTTAGCTTCCTGACTGTGCCAGCCCTTCAACCACTCAAGCATTCTCCTCTGGACTATGCCAGCCCTAGTTTAGCAGGTTAGCAATAGGTGCACCGAAGTCCCTTTGAAGTGTTCCCCTGCAATATCCAGCCCCTGACACTGATTACTCTCAGCAATTTCCAATCCTCTGTACCCAAAGATGCAGTATACCCTAATTTAGCAGTTGTACCTTAAACCACTGCTCCTGTAAATCACAGAGCACTTGAGGGTGCTTATAAAACCAAAGAAGATTTATTAAAGTAGGAATAGGGATTTAAGTAGAAATGTGAGAGTGGTAGAAAAAGTGGTTACAATATGAAACAAAATCATAAAATGTGAACCTGGGTCTTCACTTATTAATAGTTACTTTTCTTAGCTAATAAAGTAGATTTCACCCCCCCAAGTTTGTCAGTTGCAGAGCTGGCTAGTTTCGGAAGAGCCAGCATTCAAATGTTCATGAAAGCACCCTTCTCTGCCAGGGGTTTTCCTCAGTGAATGGATACAGAGTGCTTTCCTGTACACTCTGGTTATTTCTATATGTACAGCACTGCAGTGGCGCATCTGGTGACGACGCTTTATGTCAACAGGAGAGAGCTCTCCTGTCAACATAAAAAAACCACCTCTGAGAGCAGCCGAAGCTATGTCGGTGGCAGAAGCTCTCCCCCCGACATAGCGTTGTGCACATGAGTGCTTATGTCTGTGTAACTTATGTCGCTCGGGGGCGGGGGGTGGATTCCACCACTCCCCCCCCCCCCCCAAGCAACATAAATTTTGCTGACATAGACTATAGTATAGACATTGCTTCTCTTAAAGTGAAGCAGTCTTTTGTCTTTATTCATACCCAGAGTCATTTCCGGCCTCCTATAATGTTCCTTTTCACCTCCAAGTGGTTTCAATAATTTGCAATTGTCTTCGATAGTTTTCTGTTGATTGTTCTGGGGTGTGGCAAGGGTAGACAATAGAACCTTGCATTACCTCGATGGCTGACTAAGGAGGGGTGACAGCTCCCTCTTGCTTGAATAGGTCATCATGGAGACACGTTACCCCGGTGACTAATTTTTACTCAAAGTCCATAAAGCCTATTTTCCATATAAATACATTATTTCATAAATATTACTTGTACATACATATTGCAATGAGATTATGACTCTTGACAAATTAGGAGCTTTCTCTAGATACCTTACATACTACTTTTTAATGAATAAGACATGTAAAAGACATCTTTGGTGTAGTGAGTTTGTCAGGTCTGAGATGAGAAAAAAGGGTCTCTGTGTCACATTCATCTATTTCTCTTTCTGTATTTTCCTGCTTCTTGTATGTTTGCACATAAGTAACTCATCAGTTTGGGATGAGGAGCTATTTGTGCACAATGCAAGAAATAAAACTGTATCCTCTTGACTTTTTGTGTTTGTGTATGTTTAACAAAGATAGCAGCTCTGCTGTGTGCAAAACCTTTTATCTAGCCTCTACAGAAAGAAGCTAGTTATGATTCAGATGACAGGTCCATTAGCTATTAAAACGTATAAATAATTGATAGAAACAACTCTAAGGGGTGTTGCTCTTTCTCCTTTTATTACAAGTTTTTAATGCTTTGTCACTTCCATAAGATGAGATGTACAGCTACTAGTCAGCTAAGGAGCACATATCATAACCAATATATCTTCAAATCATGAGGCCCCCAGGGCAGCCTCTGAATTTTCTTGGCAGCTACTTTTATTAATTGATTGATTTTTTTGCATTATCAGCACAACACCAAAATTAGTCTTTTCTAAGCTATTAATGCAGAAAGCTAAGCATTAATGAAACATGTGGGAATGATGGTAATGCTGACTGAAGAATGGTCTGTCTTGTTCAGTATCTCCAGGTTACTCCAGCATGTCTGAATCAGTGTGTGAAAGGTATAGTTTGTGTACGGTAGAGTTTGTTTTTCACAGAGTAATGCCCAGATGCTAGCAGAGAGATGTTGAAGAAGAAGAAATGAGGAAAAATAACACTTTATCTTTGTTTTTCTCTAGGTCCTGAACAAGATACTATTTTTATTCTAGTTACTTCCTACCATGAAATTTCTAAAGCAAGAGGGCAAGTAAGACAAGCTGTTTTCCTCTCCTTCATGCCCTTTTTCTGTGTGAAGGGTCCCTCAGCCTGGTGATTACAAATAAAATCTTACTTTGGGCTATTGTCAGTTTTGGAGCCACTCTCAGCAAAAAAAGAACTTTCATATGAAAGGCAGCAGACTGTTGTGACCCTGCTAAATGACCGTATTCATCAGGGGGCAGAGACACTCTGGAAATTATGATTTGCATGGAGATGAACACTCTTTTTTTCTTTTCTTCAAGAGTATGACACAGTAGAAATGTATCACCAATGAAATAAGAGCACAGGCACATAAAAGAACTCATAGACCTCCTGCATGCCATATTATACTCCAGACAACAGTCATATCTGTCAGCTTGGATATAGTAGAACTGTGTAGTGCAGGAGTCTCTAAAGGAAGTGAAGTGTGGGGAAAATGACCTGTGAACTGAATCTGAACTTCCTTAAGGAATTGGAACGAGAGACAGTTTTACAGGTCCTGTACCGTGACCAGATGGTGAGAAAAGTGGATGAGGAAAGGATAAGGTATTTTGCCTTTTTTGTACTATGCCACCATTTCTCTTTGCTTTCTTCTCTAATCTTATTTCATCTCCTATCTTTTTTCCAGTTGGGAAAACTGAGAGGTATCCAGTGTGTCATGGCTCACTATCCATTAGAGCTGAATAAATACTGTGCATTGAATAAACTACTCAATGAATTTAGCTTCTAGCATTCCTAGAAAAAATCAGGCTACCACAAGGGTTACTCCCTCAGTGGAGAGTTTATAGTTAATTCTCCCTCATCACATTCACAGGTGCACGTGGATTGTCCCAGTTACAAAGAATGAGATCAGGTCTTTGACTGATTTACGTCATTTCATCTGTTCCAGGATTCTCACAAGGGGTTTTGGGAACCTGTTCCCCATGCTGAGTGAAGCAGTGTCCCATCCCATATAAATTTTATGCCAAGTGCATTGCATGTACTAGCGTGCAATTTTCTGTCATCACCAGAGGGTTTTATTGGCTGAATGAAGAGTTTAAATTTAATTCTCTCTCAGTACCTTCACACGGATATTTGATTTGTAAAGGGTGAGGTTAAATCTTTGTCTAGCTTATTTTGTTTCCTGTGTACTAGGGCTCTGACAAGGTGTTATTGTTTTTTTGGAACCTTGCAACCTACTTTCTCAAGCAATAACCCACCCCATATAAAACATACCATTTGGGTTGCTAATATTTACACATGCAACTTTAAAATTCTCTATGTTTTCACATTTGAGTGTAGGCCCTACAGTTTGCTTTCTGCAAGTATTTGTATGATTAAAACTTAAATGTCTGTGGAAAACAAATGCTAATAGGTTGTAAGCAAAGCTGAAACAAATTCATTTTTAAATTTGAGCAAATACAGTAACTTCTTTGGTATTTACTCAGTTCAACTTTGTATAGTCAGAATATTCTCCTGCAGAAGGGTTATGATGTAACCAAATAGTGCAGGGAACAGGATTCTTAATGTTACTGATCCTTGTCAGAGAAACACTGAACTACGGTTATGTCAGGTAAGTAAAAGCAACAATTTTCAATTTTTTGTTTTAAAATGGTTTTGGTTTTAGTTTTTGTAATTTTAAGTCTACACATAATTCAGTTAAATTCACCTTAGCTGATTCATGTATTTAATGAAGATGTTTTTGCAATTCTCATTCATGAGTCAAATTTGCAAAGGGAACCAAACCCCACTTCTTTTGCATGTGCACAGCTTTGAACACATGATCACTTGCATACATACTTTTTGGCTCCCTGTTACATGTGCATAATTTGCATGTGCAGAGCACCATTTGTACTAGATTAGAACTCCATTTATGTGCAGAAGTGGGGTTTCATGTGCAACTGATAATGCAAAAAAATACTGTATGAAAGTGATTTCAGGCAACGTAAAAATAGAGGCCACAATCTGAAGATTTGACCCATAATTATTATCACTATTGGACACAAACATTATCAGTTTGTGATTGTACATATTTTTATTTGCTTGGTGTGGACAGGAAATTGAAAATTCAGCTGCAGCAACTTCGTTGGAAGGGGGCAAAAAGTGTAAGCCATGAGTACCAAGAAAGATCCTGCGCTCGCTGTCAGAAATCCTTGGGACTGGTGATGAATAGAGGTGCAGTGTGCAATGGATGCAGTCATCGAGTGTGCTCTGAGTGCCGTGTCTGCCTGAATCCCTATTTGTGGAAATGCACCATCTGTTATGCTCATGGGTGAGAAATTTGACTAGTTTTGCTGAGCCATCTCTGTTGTTTGTGGTGTTGTAATAGTTAGAGAAGCAAATAAAATGCCTAAATTGTTATAATTAAGGTAGCATTGACAAGAGTTGAAAGCCTGGGGTGAAAACCTCACCCCGTTGAAGTCAGTGGGAATTTTGTCATTGACTTCAGTGGAGCCAGAATTTCACCCCTTCTGTTTAGCAAAATGGACAGGTCACAGAGACTCAAACATGCGTCAGTATTTCCTGGGGCTGTGATAGTGTTAGATCTCATAAGGTAGGGCAGGATTTGGTATAGTCAGTTCTTCCATAGAAATTATCTGAAGAAAACCCAGATAGCTGCAGTAACTGATACTGTGATTCCCACAGATGGCTATCTTCCCTATGAGTCAGTACTGAACCAGTGCATTCCTGCAGGGTGCTGGGGATCTTGTGCCACAGGAGGTGCCATCTTTTGGATGAGATGTTTGGCTGAGTTCTTGACTACTTCCTTGTCATTATTTTTCCCAAGGCCCTTATCACAAGAGTAGAGGTATCCCCATTGTGTTTAATAATAATAATAACAATAATAATACTTAATAATTAATATAATAAATAATATGAAACTATAGTACATGTAGATTAAAAATGTATAACAAATATTAATAACAACATTCTGATGACAAGCGCATATAGTCAGAGACAGCCCTATGCTTATCTAATTTAAATTTGTTACCTTTTGATTTCATTGCATATTACTTTGTTCTTGTATTACCAGAAAGTGTAAACAAGAGTTTTTGATTTACCTTCTCTGTACTACTATATTAAATACCTCCACTGAATATACTCTTATTCAGAACATCCTGTCTAAGCTCAATAGTCCAAATCAGGGATATTCTGATACATTTCTGACTTTGATGAGAAATGTTGTGGTACTTTATAGGCAAAAACAGAGTTTTGAAATCAAACGAGCAGTTCTGAAGGTGAAATTCATCCCTGTGCATAGGGCAAGTATTTTAAATGAAATTCATCACTGTGAAGGAGGTCAGTATAAGGGCTATGCACCACGTAAATCCCTCTTTACACCTCAAATTTAGGTTGAAATAAGAACTCAAGTGGTACATAGGTCTTGTACTAGCTTTTTGAACAGGATTGACGATCTGTGGATGGTTGCCAGTTTAAAGTCAGTTTTCAGAGTAGCAGCCGTGTTAGTCTGTATCCGCAAAAAGAACAGGAGTACTTGTGGCACCTTAGAGACTAACAAATTTATTTGAGCATAAGCTTTCGTGGGCTACAGCCCACTTCATCGGATGCATAGAATGGAACCTATAGTAAGAATATATATATATATATATATATATATATATATATACACACACACACACATACAGAGAACATGAAAAGGTGGAATAAGAGGCTAATTAATTAAGATGAGCTATTATCAGCAGGAGAAAAAAAACTTTTGTAGTGATAATCAAGATGGCCCATTTAGAGAGTTGACAAGAAGGTGTGAGGATACTTAACATGGGGAAATAGATTCAATATGTGTAATGACCCAGCCACTCCCAGTCTCTATTCAAACCCAAGTTAATGGTATTTAGTTTGCATAATAATTAATATGCCATTAACTTGGGTTTGAATAGAGGCTGAGAGTGGCTGGATCATTACACATATTGAATCTATTTCCCCATGTTAAGTATCCTCACACCTTCTTGTCAACTGTCTAAATGGGCCATCTTGATTATTACTACAAAAGTTTTTTTCTCCTGCTGATAATAGCTCATCGTAATTAATTATATCTTCTTACTATATGTTCCATTCTATGCATCCGATGAAGTGGGCTGTAGTCCACGAAAACTTATGCTCTAATAAATATGTTAGTCTCTAAGGTGCCACAAGTACTCCTGTTCTTTTTAAAGTCAGTTTGTGTATCTTGGGTGACAGTGCAGACTTTAAGAATGCACAATGAATGTCTTTTCATGTAAATTGTGATTTTTAAACAATGTATTTGAAATGCATTTATCACAAAACAGGCACAGTAGTTTGCTCGACATTTGGGGCTAAATAATTATGAGGTTTTTTTTTTCGGGGGGAAGGAGGGAAAAGCAGCTTTTGAATTATATGAGCTCCAGAACCATTATCTCCACCTCCAAAGTGCTTTTCTTTTTAGCGAAAAGGGGATGGATTCATAACTATTTTTGTGTGTAGGAAACCATAAGTTAAAGACAAATGGACCACATTTTTTCTCATTTGTTTTTTAAGACTATTGTTCAGAGGCTAAGTGTAACATGGAAAAACTCTTTTTATCCCAAAGCAACTAAAAATAGAGGTTTATAATAAAAGTGTCATTTCAGCCAATTAAGATCACATCATATCGTATCTCATATCATTACTTATCCTGATATTTAGTAATGCATGCAGCAAGACACACACACATAAACACGCCCAAGGAAATCTATTTTTCTGTCTATTGCAGACGTTGAAAAATTATGCATCCTCAGTGAGTGAAATTTACCTTTGAGGAGAAGGACAGCACAAGGCCCTGTCTGCGCTTAAGCCTCATTTGAGCTTATCACTTAGGGCCTGATCCAAAGCCCATTGGAATCATTGGGAGTTTTTCCATTGACTTTAATGGGCTTTGGTTCAGGACTATAAAGCTTAAGAGATGGATAGGGCTATGTGTGGACCCTCTGTAATGGAGTAGTTCTACTCAGTGCCCTATATTTTATGGGAAGAGGAAAGATGTAGAAATTTAGAGTCTGATTTTCAGAGATACAGTACTGAGCACTCATACCTTCTGTTGAAGTCAAGAAAAGCACGTTGACTTCCGAAAATCAGCGTCTAAATGACTTCTTGCAGAATCTAGGCCAGCAGAGTCTCTGTGTGTCTTTGTGATGGCAAGTAGAGTGACTGCTTATAAATGATCAATTACAAAACATACTGGTGTACATTTGATAGGCAGTATAATTTCATTATCTTCATCTTGATTTTTTTTAATCCTGATGCTATTATCTAGCTCTCAGTTGCTGTTAAAATGTTTTTTCCCCCACAAAACATTGGTATCAGCAACATCACTGACGTTCTTCCTCCCCTACCCTGCTCTTTAAATACTAGTTTTAGATATTAGATTATCTGTGGAGACAAACTTCATAGACCAAACTGAGCATAAGCAATGACAAAAAGGCTACCATAAAACACCGTTTTTGACATTTCAAAAACAAAATGGAAATGTATTTCCTGTGTGCTGTATCTAGATGATTGTAGGTATTACTATGAGTCACGCATAAGTGAACAGAAATCAGCCATCATCCTCTGTTCATGGTCTTGCTCTGATAAGTTTATAAATGTGAATAGAAGTATCTTTTAACTTCTCATATGCCCTTTCTCTGTGCATGGCTGAGGGCAAATATCTCTAAAGCAGTCCCATTATAGCCTTGGATATGATTTATCACAGGGCTACATACATGTCCCCATTTGCTAGATGAACACTGTCAGCCAAATTCAACTCTTAAGTGCTCACATCCCACCTGTCCAAAGAAAATAAATATTTAACTGAGGTCGGCATTTGGTTTGCTATATCGTGAGTAGAAAGAAGGCCAAGCTGCAATGTTCCAATTGGCATCTTAACCTCAGAAAGTTTGGGGATGTTCAGATCAGGGATTTTGGGGCTGATCATATTGTTAGTCATGTAATGTATTCAAACTAAATAAATTTATAGATTTATAAATTTATAGATTTAAATTTATAGATTTAAATCTGGATTGAATGAATGCTAGATGTAAAGTAACATTTAAATATGTACATCCTGTGGTAAGATGGAAGCGGTGAACAAGGATAAAGTTATTTATCATGTTGTTTGTCTTTCTAAATCAGTGGTCCCCAAACTTTTCAGGGTAGCATCCCCCTTACCCCTGTCCATTCCCCCCATAAAAGCATGATTTTATGGAAAATATATCTCTTGTTCAAGAAATTTGATATATTTTTTTGATTTTGAGATTACAGGTATGGATGATAAAGGTAACTGTATTGACATAGTATGGATTTAGACATCTGTCAGGTGTTTGATTTAGTTCCGCATAACATTCTGATTAAAAAATTAGCACTATACAAAATCAATATATCACATATTAAATGGATTAAAAACTGGCTAATTGATAAACTTCAAAAAATAATTGTAAATGGGGAGTCATCATCCAAAGCAGGTGATTCTAGTGGGCTCCCACAGGGATCTGTTCTTGGTGTAATGCTATTTTGTATGTTTATCAATGATCGAGGAGAAAATATTAAATCTTTGCTGGCAAAGTGTGCAGGTGACATGAAAATAAGTAAAATGGTAAATAATGATAAAGATAGGTCAATTATACAGAGCAGTCTAGATCACTTGGTGAGATGAGGTCATTTGAACAACAGACAACGTATATAGGTCAGTTACAGGATTGGGGACTCTGTTTTGGAAGCAGTGACACTGAAAAGGATCTCAGGGGTCATGATGAATAACTAACTGAATATGAGCTCCCTGTGTGTTACTGTGGCTAAACTGGCTAATGCAATTGTTGGATGTATAACCAGGGGAAAATCAAACAGGAAGTTGATATAATTTATGTATACATACGTTTGGCAGAAACTGGGAATGGGCGACAGGGAATGGATCACTTGATGATTACCTGTTGTGTTCATTCCCTCTGGAGCACCTGGCATTGGCCACTGTTGGATAATGGGCTAGCTGGACCTTTGGTCTGAACCAGTATGGCTGTTCTTATGTACAACACTGGTGAGACTGCTACTAGAATAGTCTGTCCAGGTCTGGTCTCCACACTCCAAAAGGGTGTTGAACAATTGGAAAGAGTTCAGAAAAGAACTACAAGAATGATATGAGGTCTGGAAAACTTGCCTTACAGTGGAAACTTAAGAAGTTAACTCTATTTATCTAATCCATGGTTTATATATAGCCACATGGGGAGTAGTTCTGGTAGCATAGGGCTCTTAAATGTGACAAAGGCATAACAATGCCCAGTGGTTGGAAGCTGAAGCTAGATAAATATAAGCTAGAAATAAGGTGCACATTTAGAACAGTGAGTGTAATTAACCATTGGATCAAGTTACCTAGTGTTGTGATGGATTCATCATCACTTGAAGTCTTTAAGTCAAGACTGGATGTCTTTCTAGCAAATATGCTCCAGTCCAACCACAAGATATAGGCTTGAGGCAGGAATTACTGGGTGAAGATCACTGGCCTGTGGTGTGTAGGTCAGACTAAATCAGGGGTGGGGAACCTGTGGCCAGATCCGGCCCGCTGCTTCATTTCATCTGGCCCACGGCAAGTCTCTGTGCTGCAGGCCGGAAGCCCCGGCCTTGGTGCCCTCTCTTCCGCCCCCTCACGGGGCTTGAGCCGCAAGCACCTGCTTGCCAGGTTGCCAGAAGTCTGGTTGGCTCTGTGCTGCTCCCAGCATGTCCCTGTGGCATCTAGGAGCAGGTGTGATCAGGGAAGCTCTACGCGTTGCCCCCATCCCCAGCGCCGGCTCCGCAGTTCCCATTGGCTGGGAATCGCGGCCAATGGGAGCTGCGGGGGCAGCACTTTTGGGCCTGGGCAGCATGCACCATGCAGAGCCCCCTCACCCCTCTGCCTAGGGACTGAACATGGCGGCCGCTTCTGGGAGCAGCACGGAGCCCCAGCAGGCAGGGAGCCTGCCTTAGCCACGCTGTGCCACTGACCAGGAGCCGCCTGAGGTAAGTGTCGCCCGGCCGGAGCCTGCACCCTGAGCCCCCTGCCCCAAGTTGGAACCCCCTCCCGCACCCTAACTCCTTCCCAGACCCCGCACCTCATACTTCCTCCCTACCTCCTGCCCCAACCGTGAGCATGCTCCTGCACTCCAAACCCCTTGGCCCCAGCCTGGAGCCCCCTTCTGCACCCCAAACCCCTCATCCCCGGCCCCACACCGGAGCCCTCACTCCCTCCCACACCTCAGCCCCCAGCCCAGAGCCCCCTCCTGCACACTGAACCCCTCATTTCTCCCCTTGTCCCTACCCTGGAGCCTAGGGGAGGCCCCGAACCCCCTCACCCGCTGGGCTGTGTGTGGCCCATGACTGATTTTTTTCCGTGGGTCAGTGGTCCCTGGTAGAAAAAAGGTTCCCCACCCGTGGACTAGATGGTCATAAGGCCTTCTGGCCTTAAAATGTATGAATCTAAGAAAACTTAAAAATAACACTTCTGTCTGAATATTTTCACCTGCTAAAGTTACAAATAATAGAATGAGATTGGAGAAAATATATTTATTTTTGTCTATTTTTCTTTGATTGTTTTATGCATTTGATGGCACTTTGTATCCGATCCACAGCATTTTTTTTATTTTATCTGATTAAATTTTCACAGTTGCACAAAATTATGGGTTTTAAGCATCTTTTTCTTCATTTATAGATTTAAATTTTCACAGCTGTGGGAAATTATGGGGGGAGTTCACACAAGGGGGGGCAGACAATAATTATTTTATCATAGTAGACGTTGAGATTCAAAAAATTGAAGCTTTATAACCATCAAAACACAAATTGTCTACATCACATGTCAAAATATACAAAGTAAATATCCTCAAGTCAAACTTTAATAAATTCTCAAGCAGTACGTTTCTTACTTTGTCTATCTATACATTTTTATTATTACTGATGGAAATATTTCTTCTTCAGTTTGTGTGTGTATGGTGAAATAGATGTTTACCTGCATTTACCGATACAAATCTAATCCTTCAAGCCTAATCATAGCACATTATATGGATTTAAAGCAGTGTCCAGAACAGTTATACCAGAACCTCTACTGCCAAATTTTCTGATTCCATTGTCTTAAATTAAGCACCATAATCTATGGTTAGACACCTAAATAAATGGCCTGATTTTAAGAGGAGCTGAACATACTCCATTTCCAATGGAGTAAGTTAAAGTTGCAGGTGTTCAGCTCCTCTGAATACAAAGACACTTATTTAGGTGCCTAAAAATGGAACCTAAAACCAAGCTGAAACAAAAGCACACAGCGTCCTAAACACTGTACCATATTTTAAAAGGGAATGAATTGAGAACCAGCATGGCAACTCAACCGCTGCATTTCCTGGCCTTTGTGAATTTCAGTCAGAATTATATATAGTTTTTTGGTTTTGTTTAGTTACAGGCTTTTGAATTTTTCTCAAGGATCTGTCCTTATGTGCATTTCATACTCATTAAAATATCACCCATTTGATCTCATGATCCTGATGCATGCAAGTAATGTGCATGACAGTTGCTACCAGTGGCACTAGCTTCTTGAAAGAGGAGCAGGGTAAGGTTAGGGTTAGGCCATGGCACCACCACACTGTCCACATCAATGAGGAGGGAGTGTGCTGCACCTTCTAGGGTTATGGCACTGCAGCATGTGCTGCTCTTATATAGCCATTCTGTCTTACACCTAGGAGCGCACACTATAGTACCTTTACATTCCCTCAAGCTAGGTTATGGCAGTAAACAGCAAGCTAGCCCTAAGGACCTTATCTGAGGTCACAGAGCAAGTCAGGTGCAGAGCTAGGAATAGAATCAAGGACTCTTGACTTCCAGTGTGTTGCTCTAAACACTAGATAATATGTCAGGGCAGAAGAGTTCTTACAGGGAGCACAAAGCTGATCACAAAGCTGAACTCAGGGTCAGATTGTAGTGATCTCCCATTAGTTATACTGTACAATTAAGAAGGATCACTCTGTAGTCTTTGACTGTTAATTAGATTTTTGCCTTAAGTGCACATGTATATGGTCCTGAAAATTCATCTTGGAAACTGTGAAAAAGGTTCAAATATCTGTTTGTTTGTTTTTCAGAGACATTAAAGTGAAGACTGGGGAATGGTTCTTTGAGGAACGTGCCAAGAAATTCCCAGCTGACGGTAATTACTGGAGCAGGCAACAAACTGCTTTGCGGTGTATAGTCTTCATCTAACTAATATACAATACAAAATCTTGACACACTGCTTTGTTTCATTTTTAGCCCATTTAGTAGGAGATAGGTCTGAAATAAAGACTAGATCTTGTGGTATGTGTCTCTACAGTGGGTGTAAGACAGCAGAATGCCTGCCTGTTTGCCTCAAGCATAAGCCAGAAGAAGGCCTTTAAAGGGCAAAGTACTTTGACTGGGTAAAATGAAACATGATAACTATATCAATTTGAACAATGTAACTGAAATTGTGAGCACCAAATAAGTGTGCACCTTAAGACGAATAAGAAATACAATGGTCTGTGAAATAAATATAGATGCACTAGCGTATGTGGACTGCAAAGAGATGTCTTGCAGCCTTTTAAGTTAATGGCAAAGTTCCTATTGATTTCAGTGATGTAGGTTCAAAGCTTACAAAGAGGACAGGATAGAATAGACAATAAAAAGGGGAAATTTACAAACCTACCATGAGACAGTGTTCAGCACATACTAATCTATGGGAACCTAAACCAAAACCTGTTTGGAGCCCAGTTATGCCATCCCCCTTGTGTAGGGCCCTCCTATGCCACTGGGGACACAAAGTAGCCAATGGGTGTGTGGTGGTGGCAGATCCATCCTCATCCACAGCACTGGAACCCAAAGCAGGTCAAGTGAATGAGGAACATGCTGCATCATGTGGTGGTGGCAGATCCATCCTCATCCACAGCACTGGAACCCAAAGCAGGTCAAGTGAATGAGGAACATGCTGCATCGCCCAAAGGGCTGCTACAGTGTGTGCTCTACCCCTGCATTCTGGGGAAAGGATTGTGTTTTATGAGACATAGTCCCTTCTTGAGCTCCCCTGGGGGTGGTGTCGCTTCCCACTTTCCCTATCTGGGACCTGTGTCTAAATGACACAACCTGGACCATAGTATCCCCATTTTATGACTTCAGATGTAAGAAGGGATAATACGCAGGTGAAGCCAATAGACACTGGTCCTTAAAATACCCCCTCAGGGAGCTGTGTTTATCTGTGGAAACATTAGCAATATAAGAGAAGAAGGATGTTATACATTAAGTAATCAAGCAGTCTTTGAAACAACAGGTATTCACTGAAAGCTGGCATCAAAACAAAGTGAGAAGATGAGTAATGATACACTTCCTTGCTAAAAATCAGACAGCAGTTATTTATCAACTTCACTGAATCCCCTTCTAGATAGAACACATTTCCCAATTTAATAATGTTGGTTGATTCACCTTCTTGCGGTCAGTGGAGTTCCAAAAGTTGTTATATGCGCTCATTTCTCTCTCTCTCTCTCTCTCTCTCCCCAGAGGTGGTTGGTGAGAGTAGTAAAGATGTAAATCTAAACAATCTCTCACAAACACAGAAAAGTGATTTTCTGTTATTCTTCTTCAGGTGCTTGTTGATGTCCATTCCAATCAAGTGTGTGCACGCACACTTGCTCGTTGGCTTGAAGATTTTCCCCCTAGCAGCATCCATTGGGTTGTCCTGGGCGCCCCTGGAGTCGTGCCCTCGTGGTGCCTAATATATAGCCCTGCCGACCTGCCACCCCTTCAGTTCCTTCTTACTGCCAGTGACAGTGGCTGGAACTTCCCGTAGCTCTTGCTCAGCAAGTTCATTCTTTATCTGGTTGTATATAGTTAGTTCGTTAGTGTTATTAGTGTCTTAGTATAGAGTTTGTTGCCCACCGCCTTTTCCCCCACTCTGCTTCCTGGAGCCGTGATATGCCACGTTCCCCAGGTTTTAAAAACTGTGTGGCCTGCACCAAGCGCATGCCAAAGAGTGACCCGCACTTGTCGTGTCTACGGTGCCTGGGGAGACCCATCAGAAAGATCGTTGTAAGATGTGCTGCAAGTTCCGTCTGAGAACTCTTAAGGAAAGGGAACAGTGCTCAAGGAGATCCTGATGGAGACAGCTCTACGCCCCCACTCTGACCCAGGCTTGGGAGACACGACCCCTACTGTGTCATCCTCGATGTGGAACGCCCTGGTGCCATCAGCGAGCTCGGCACCGAGAAAGGATTCTTCTTCTTCAAGTGATTGTTCACGTCCATTCCAATTAGGGGTGCATGCGCTGCATGCACGGACGTCGGAAATTTTTCCCTTAGCAGTTCCTGTCAGGATGGCAGGGGAGCCCCTCAGAGTAGCGCCCTCATGGTGGTGTATATATTACCCTGCCGGCCCGACCCCCCTTCAGTTCCTTCTTACCGTCCGTGGCAGTGTTGGAACGTTCTCTCTCTCTCTCTCTCTCTCTCTCTCGCTTGTGAGTGATCCCTTAGCCTTTCATATGTAGTTATCAGTTAGTTATCAGTAGTTAGAAATCCATTGTCTCAGGTGTCTGGAAGCTACTTCCAGCACCAGCCTTGGGCTGCGGTGAATGCCGCAAGCCCAGGGTTTTAAAGCTTGCGCCACGTGCCACAAGTCTATGCCCAACAGCGACCCCCACAATTCCTGTCTCCGGTGTCTGGGAGAGTCTCATCAAGCAGAGCGCTGCAAGATCTGCAAGGCCTTTAAGCTGTGCACCAAGAAAGAAATGCTGGAAATGGCCCACCTTGATTATCACTACAAAAGGTTTTCTTCTCTCCCCCCCCCCCCCCCCCGCTGGTATTCGCTCATCTTCAGTGATCACTCTCCTTACAGTATCTATGATAACACCCATTGTTTCATGTTCTCTGTGTATATAAATTTTCTCACTGTATTTTCCACTGAATGCATCCGATGAAGTGAGCTGTAGCTCACGAAAGCTTATGCTCAAATAAATTTGTTAGTCTCTAAGGTGCCACAAGTCCTCCTTTTCTTTTTAAGAAAGAAAGAGACTTTCGCCTTAAGCAGTTGCTCATGGAGGCTGCGTTACAACCTCCAGCCTCCAACCAACCGGCACTGGCATCCTCGGTGCCAAGTGCCCCGGCATCCGTGTGTGACCTGGCACCGCAAATCATCGGCACCGAGACGGGACAACAAACTTCGGCACTGGTCGACTTCTCCGGCACCGACTAAGCAGCACAAGCACGGAGAAAGAGGGCGCTCTCCCCAGAGAGCTGCTAAGCCGCTCAGAGATGCTCCCGGCACGCAAAGACACATTGCGGGCCCAAGCCAAGAAGCTGCACCGTTGACTCTGGCGCCACAGGGCCCGTTGAGTCCGGTACCCAGCGAATTTAGTGCTGACAAGGGGTTGGAGGAGGTCCTTGAACATCCCTCCACACCCGACACTTTTGAGGCAGCAAAAGACCTCATTGAGTTGTCAGTGCCGAGCCCCCTCCGGCACCACCTAGAAGGGTGCTATCCAGAGGGAAGCCAGCAATGGTGCGCCGTTCAGGTCACCATCTCGGCACCACTCCTGGTCGAGTTCGGCATCCCATTATTCCCCGGTGCCCACAACCCAGCGTGAGGTTACAGCACTGGAGGCGAACCAGCCAGTGCCACCCGCGGCGACTGCACACCAGTCCCCGACACCGATCCCAGTCCCGGAACTCCCGGTACCATTCGTTGTCCTGGTCAGCCAGGCACCACTCCCTGGCACCCTGCGACCACTGCATGTTCAGCACTGCTGTGGTCCACTCAGTCAGCATCCTTGGGATCCGAGGCCGACTCTGGTCGCTCTAGCTATAGTAGCCATTCCAAGTCGCCGCACAGGCACCCATCAAGGACAAGGGATGCCACTCTCTCCCGGCCACCCCCAGACTCACAAGAGCAACTGGCGCCCCCAGACCCAATATCCGAGATGGCGCCAAGCTCTGCGACACCTCAAGAGGTGCCAGCCCCGCAGGGCCCTGAAGTGACCCAGGTCTGTGGGGACACAGAGGAGGGTCTAGATGAGGACAACCTCTTCCCCAGACGAGGTGGTGGGTATGTCAGTGTCAGGACCGCCACCAATAGACCACAGGGCTCACCAGGAGCTGCTCCGCAGAATTGCCCTCAATATGGGCCTTCAGGTGGAAGAAACGGTCGAGCACGAGGATCCTATGGTGGACATTCTGGCCCCCAAGGGTCCCTCCAGAATTGCTCTCCTTTTCATAAAGACCATACAGTCCAACTACAACACTATTTGGCAGACCCCAGCCTCCATCATGCTGACGACTAAGGGGGTAGAAAGGAAATACTTGGCCCCTTCCAAGGGGTATGAGTTCTTGTTCTGGCATCCGACTCCTTGTTCCCTAGTCATTTCAGCAGTCAACGAAAGGGAACGACACGGCCAGCAAGCCTCAGTCCCCAAGGCCAAGGAAGCTAAGCATTTGGACCTCTTCGGTAGAAAGGTCTACTCCTTCAGGGGCCTCCAGCTATGCATAGCCAACCAACGGGTGATCCTCAATAGACACAACTTCAACTCTTGGATGGCAGTGTCCAAGTTTAAGGATCGCCTGCCCCAGGACACACACCCTGAGTTTGCAGCTTTAATCGAGGAAGGGAAAGCGGTGGCTAAGACTTCCTTGCAAGCCTCCCTCAATTCGTGCTGCCAGAACCATTGCCTCTGGGGTAGTCATGCGACGCTCAGCGTGGCTCCAGGCGTTGGGCCTCCCTCCAGAGGTCCAGAATACCCTCCAGGACCTTCCTTTTGCGGGGTCAGGCCTTTTCTCGGAGCAAACGGACTCCAGGCTGCACAGCCTCAAGGATTCTAGAGCCACGCTGAAGTTGCTACGCTGAAGTTGTATACGCCGGCAACCCAGAGAAAGCCCTTCAAGCCTCAGCCTCCGCAGCAGAGGCAGTATCAACCCTGACCCAGGCAGGAGCTGTATCGCAGGTGGGGCAGAAATAACAGGCGCAGACAGAACAGCACACCTAACCAGGGCCAGAATAAGCCCCAACCTGGAAACAAGCAAGGGTTTTGAGGGCGCGCCTGAGGACAGTGTACCAACCCAGTTGCCGGATCCATCCCCATGATTTTTAAACTGATTAACCCACTTCTACCATGCGTGGTCCCATATAACATCGGACCGATGGATCCTACGCACAGTA